TCCTGTGCAGTCACTTGGGGACTGACAGGTCTTCCCTCTGCGCCCCCGTCTGCTCCTCTGGTCTTACCAAGCCAACCAAATAATGATCACTCAGACACAGCAAACCACTAATTGCATGTGTGTTACTGACCCTGCATTGTGAGAGATCCCCAGCTTGCTTGTGTTAAGTGGAAAATAGAGGAATTTGAGATTTAAGGCACATCAAATGGCAAAGACAGGAAGGAAGATGATGGAAGTTGTATGTCCTGGCTGTGTGGGACGAGCTTAGCCCGTGGTTTTCCTCAGTCCTCAAAGAGCATTGAATTATGGCTTTGTTCCTTTTTTGGTAAAAAACACTGTGCTGCTGGATGCAATATCAACCCAGCACAGAAGTTACATCCTAGTTACTGCTCTTCTGAGTACTAATGCTGTAATTTTACTTTGCCCAACATAGAGTATGGAGACTGCCATCAAACAAAGTTAACTTGCTTGCTGCTTCAGCCGTTGGGTGGAAATGAATTCCTACGGTGTAAAAACTCAAAAAGTTGTGTGGTTGGGTTGTCTGTGTCACGGTGACGTGAAGGATGTTTTCCCCTGAGTTTTTACACCGAGCATTAGTCAATCAACATGCAGAAATAATGTGATGTGCAAAGAGATCCTGGTGGAAAAAGCGTAATCTTGTATGTATGACCTTGAAGTGCTGTTGATGAAGACTCGAGCCCTCCTTGTGAAACATATAATTGGTAGCGTTCATCACTGATGTGGGATTTCAGCTCCCTAAATAGATGCTGTGGGATGAGGAATGGTTTCTGGTGTATATATCCTACTTCCCAGCCATGCAGGGCTGCGTGTGCCCGGCACACAGTGGGTAGAGAGACTCCTGGGCCGTGTGTGGGTCCAGTGTAGGTGCAGGGGATGAGGCAGAGAGAGGGGGGAAACCCTGCACACAGTAAACATTTGACATTTGGAATAACATTATCTTATTAAATACGGCATCTTCTAAGCTGCGAACTACCGGGAAGGGTACTTAAGGGGGTGGGTAATGAAGATGTAAGCAGCAGCAAAAAATACTCCAGAGACAGCAGGAATCACAGCCCTGTTCTCCAGGGGAGGAGGAGCGACCACGTGAGGAGCAAACTCCCCAGCAGAGAGCTGTGCTGAATAAATGTTAGACACGCGAGAGACACTAAAAATAGCAAATGAAAAGATTTAATGAATGCGCTGAGTGGAAGGTGTTTCCCACAGATTTGGAAGTATCTCCTCTGCAGGGTTTTCAGACCACCTACTGTGTATTCGTCTTGTAGGGAGTTTCTGATGACAAGGCTAAGCCCTCAAAGCCCTAATTATTCTGCCGTTCTGTCAAAAAAACCCCAAATGTCATAACTCTTACACCTGTAAGGACTAGGAGCAGAGATCCACCTACTCCTGAACAAACTGTTGCTCATTTCTTTCCTCCTTGGGGCCTGTCTAAACACAAGTGGTGATCTCACTCTCTCTAACTTTTAATAATGTTTGATCAAACAGCATTGATCCAAAGAATTAATGCAAACGGAGTTTCCTTTATTTATAACCTGCAACTTAATTGCAACGAGATAGACCTTGGGCATACAGCAGAGTGATTATTTCTGTTCCTCCCGAGTCCCACTCTTGCCCCAATAGTCTGCTCATCCAAATTCGTGAAGGAGCCCCTGTGCCTGTTACAGATTGCATACTCCAGACGTGATTAAAGTACCTCCTCGTCAAATAAAGCTGTTTACTTTCCCCCCCTTCTTTCTCTCTCTCTCTTTCTTTTCCTCTTTACCTCCCTTTTGCCCCCAAAAGGTTTATTTCCCTTCTCTTGTCCAAAGACTATTAAAACAATCTGAACTCTGCTTTACCCGGCTGCTCGCCATTGCCCAGGGACTGTGAAACACCCAGTTACAGGGGGACTGACACGGGGGGGGGTTGTATCTCTGCCTGAAGTGATACCCAAGTGATGACACGTGTGTGACACCTTTCTGCCAGGCTGTCCCTGGCACTTCTGGTGGTGCAGAGGTTGGCAAACACTGTTAGAGGTGCCCGGGCTGGGGGCTGGCAGAGCCCACCCCCGTCATCCCAATTCCCACACCTTTACTTCAGGCTGTGAACAGTGCAGCTGGCAACAGTGTTTATATTCTCTTATTATGTATTTATTCATTTTACCCCTTACAATTGGCAGAAGAATGAGTAAAATTTTCCTATCTTAAGATTATTTAGAGTCCTATGTACTTTTTAAATTATAAACTTATCGTGGGCCCCTCCGAATCTTGCGCGTTTCCCTTATGCTTCGTTTCTGTAATTGCCGAAGGTGGAAGTCCAGCTTCTCAGGGCTGCTGTGTGATACTGCCCCGAACGGTGCTCCTGCCTGCAGGAATTGCCTTTTCCAGTCTTGGCTCAGCAGCAGTCCTCAAAATTTGTTTAAAGGGGTGTCACGCGTCAAATATTCATTGGCAGAACTTTGGAGGAGTGATTCAAATGGGGAATTGCAAAATGTCCCTGTAGGAAATGTTAAAATCATAATAATATTCATTATTATTATTAAAGAGCTGGAAAACAAACCCAAGTCATTCCATGACCAGCCAAACCAAAAAAGCCTGAGCTCCTACTAATGTGTGTTTTAAGGTTCAGACCTTGTGTAATAAGGCAGAGAGCTCACATAGTGTTCAGTCCCTTGGGGGGTCAGGAAGGGAGTGATGATAGAGAAAAAATAATGGAAAACAGCAGTGCTAAACAAGGTGTCTCCCTTCCCTACCAGGGGGTTTACTTTGAGGAGAGTTATTGGAGAAGGAAGGCAAGAGGCAGATGCACACACACACACACTCACATGGAGTGTTGTCTGACTCTCATGTCTTTAAAGAAAACACATTCAGGACTAATCACCAATCAGCCTCCTCAACTTCTTTGATTGTTCTTCTGAAAAATAATGTCCCAAATTGATGTCACTGAAAGAAAAATTGAGGCAAAAAAAAAATGTTATTTCCCTTAAACTTTTAGTTCTGTTCCTTTGGCAGCCCTGGCAATAGAGATGTTATAGTCAACACAGAACAGTAATTAGGGATAAAGGGATGCGCCCAGAAAACAAGCAGTTTCTCCGAGTGGAGGAGGCGGTGGAGCCTGGCTTTCTGCAGAGCTCTCCCCCTCGCACCGTGGCACTTTGTGCTTACATGATTCTGTAGATAATTTTAGAAGGTTTTATGGGATCATTTAGGGACTGATTTTGCCAAATACGCATACAGATGGTATTACCTACATTCACTAATTTATCAGCACTTTTTTATGGCCCCAAATCTCAGAGTCATGCGATTATTGTGTGAATCTTTCTCAAGAATCAATGAAATGGTGGCACAGTTGCATGGGAAAGTTGGGAAACGAATCTCTAGGAGACCAGACCCAGGAGGCCTGTGTCCAGTTCTGGGCTTCCCAGTTCCAGAAGGACAGGGAACTGCTGGAGAGGGTACAGCAGAGGGCTACAGAGATGATGAGGGACCTGGAGCATCTCTCTTATGAGGAGAGGCTGAGGGACTTGGGTCTTTTTAGTCTGGAGAAGAGAAGACTGAGGGGGGGATCTGATCAATGCCTATAAATACTTCAAGGGTGGGTGTCAAGAGGATGGGACTGGTCTTTTTTCAGTGGTGCCCAGGGACAGGACAAGAAGCAGTGGGCACAAACTTGAACATAAGAAGTTCCACCTAAACATGAGGAGGAACTTCATGACTTTGAGGGTGGCAGAGCCCTGGAACAGGCTGCCCAGAGAAGTGGTGGAGTCTTTGTCTCTGGAGACATTCCAAACCCCCCTGGATACGTTCCTGTGCAACCTGCTCTGGGTGGACCTGCTTTGGCAGGGGGTTGGACTGGATGATCTCCAGAGGTCCCTTCCAACCCCATATCATTCTGTGATTCTGTGACTTGAGGGTTAGGGGTGCTGCTGTAAATGGCTTTGGGTTTGAGTTGGTTTCACAGTCCTTTGATGAGAACACGTGTACCTGCCTGGAGGGCAGCTCTAGCACAGTGGTTGGTTGGGTTTTGCCCATCTTGTCGCACACTCAACTGTTTTCTCTCTCTCTTGTGTTGTTGCAGATAAGGAGTTAGGCGTCAGTACCCTCGCTGAAAATGACGACCCTGGTGCTAGGGGCCCCGCTGTCCCGAAAATATCAGGATTAGAAAGGAGTCAAGAGAAGAGCCAGGACAGCAGTAAAGACCCAATACTTGAGCCTGTGGTGCCTAAAGACCCTTGTCCTCAGGTGACGCAGCCCGTGGCCCAGCCCCAGTTGGAGCCGCAGCCGGAGGCCTCGAAACGAATCTCTAGGAGACCAGACCCAGGAGGCCTGTGTCCAGTTCTGGGCTTCCCAGTTCCAGAAGGACAGGGAACTGCTGGAGAGGGTACAGCAGAGGGCTACAGAGATGATGAGGGACCTGGAGCATCTCTCTTATGAGGAGAGGCTGAGGGACTTGGGTCTTTTTAGTCTGGAGAAGAGAAGACTGAGGGGGGGATCTGATCAATGCCTATAAATACTTCAAGGGTGGGTGTCAAGAGGATGGGACTGGTCTTTTTTCAGTGGTGCCCAGGGACAGGACAAGAAGCAGTGGGCACAAACTTGAACATAAGAAGTTCCACCTAAACATGAGGAGGAACTTCATGACTTTGAGGGTGGCAGAGCCCTGGAACAGGCTGCCCAGAGAAGTGGTGGAGTCTTTGTCTCTGGAGACATTCCAAACCCCCCTGGATACGTTCCTGTGCAACCTGCTCTGGGTGGACCTGCTTTGGCAGGGGGTTGGACTGGATGATCTCCAGAGGTCCCTTCCAACCCCATATCATTCTGTGATTCTGTGACTTGAGGGTTAGGGGTGCTGCTGTAAATGGCTTTGGGTTTGAGTTGGTTTCACAGTCCTTTGATGAGAACACGTGTACCTGCCTGGAGGGCAGCTCTAGCACAGTGGTTGGTTGGGTTTTGCCCATCTTGTCGCACACTCAACTGTTTTCTCTCTCTCTTGTGTTGTTGCAGATAAGGAGTTAGGCGTCAGTACCCTCGCTGAAAATGACGACCCTGGTGCTAGGGGCCCCGCTGTCCCGAAAATATCAGGATTAGAAAGGAGTCAAGAGAAGAGCCAGGACAGCAGTAAAGACCCAATACTTGAGCCTGTGGTGCCTAAAGACCCTTGTCCTCAGGTGACGCAGCCCGTGGCCCAGCCCCAGTTGGAGCCGCAGCCGGAGGCCTCTTGCCCCAGCCCCGCGCTCGCCCCGCGGCAGATCGG